CATTAGACTCATCCAACTCTTTGCGAATCCTCTGCACTGTTTTCATATTGACATCCAAAGACTGAAACGTTCGTATTCGAGCTTCCGGTGCAAATACCAAGCAACACAGTATATCCTTTCCAAATTTCTGGCAGAGTGAATTGCATCATGGTGCTCTTTTTCGCACAGATGGTGCCCAACTGACCCTACTATACTGTGCAGTCGAAATAAAAAACAAATAATCCGGATGTACCAATTTAAAAATATAAAATGGCGGCAATTTACTATCTCTCTCTCTCTCTCTCTCTCTCTATATATATATATATATATATATATATATATATATATATATATGGAAGATTGAATTTCCTATTCATGTAATTCATAGTTTACCATGTGTCTCGTGTATTAGTCGACTAATGTTTTTGACCTTAATTCATGATAAATTAAGCTGAAATAAAATTTAAAAAAAAACAGTAATATTTTCCCTACCCTCATTTAACGTCGAGTAAATACTGTCTTCTATTATCATAATCTAATTTCTCATAATTTGGTAATCGGCCTATCTTGGCAACTGTTTACAGATAACTCTCCTTTCCTTTATCAAATTAATATGAAAAAAATAATCACTGTATCGAAGTCGATGCATTTATATTTCGCCCTCACATTTCACGAACAGGGCATATTCAATGCGAATTTGTTATACAAAAACTGGTTGGATGGTTCGTGGTGTAGTCACGATGAGAGCTTCACGAATGCCATGAATATACACGATTCTCACTTTGGTGCTTTTTTTATTGTAGTCTTCTGTTAGTCCAAGCAGATATATATATATATATATATATATATATATATATATATATATATATATATATATATATATATATTGCATTTAAAACGCAATTTTCATTGATGCATGTTTCAGTAAATAATATAGACAAGTTTTTTCAGTTTATTTTAAATTGTTTTCATGTTATCTGCCTATAATTGATAACAGAACCATTCGTTATTTTACGACTTCCCATACTTAATAAATCTCATTTTCCCTCTCAACATTTTTTTAAGACGTTTCGAGTTGCGACGCGAAATTCGCTTCCGCAATCTTTCGTATAATACGAGTTAGTCGTTGCCCTTGAAATTTTTCATGCAACAAAAGCAGATTATCATTATTAATTTACCATGTTATTGAAAAGTACGTGTCATCTTTGATGTGTATATTTGTAAACAAAGCTTAGATTATTTTTAAACATGTATGAATATGGTGATTTTGTTTTCATCTTTCAATGATAATCTATATCAAGGTGTCAGACAATATGAATAGAACTTACTTAAAATAAAAAAGATAAAAACATGTCTATATCATTTATTGAAACAGCGGCCTCTATATATATTATATGGATATATATATATATATATATATATTATATATATATATATATATATATAAGTTATAGTTTTAAGGTATGCTGTATTTATTTTAAAATTGCTCAATTTTGAGACAGAACGCATGTAATTATAAAAATGATTATTGAAGTCAACAGTCAGAGGCCTGAGTCCCCACCCTCAATATTCTCGGTATATATATATATATATATATATATATATAAGTGAGAGAGAGATATTTATATATGTGTGAGACATATAGATAGATAATGAATGATAGATAGATAGATAGATAGATAGATTATGTATGTTTAGTCACGATGAGAGGCTCCACTTTCCTGCTCATTAATTCAAAATGAATTCTATTCTCACGAGGTTCCCTTTATATTGTAGTCTTCCATTAGTCTAACCATATATATATATATATATATATATATATATATATATATATATATATATATATGCATGCAAGAGCAAATATGGTTTTTAAGTTATGCTATATTTAATCTATAAAGTGTTCTTATATTGTGTAATGTTTATCCCATAAATCTCTGCGGATAGCTTATTCTTTTCTCTAATATATATATATATATATATATATATATATATATATATATATATATATATATATGTATACACACACATATCCTGTATATATATATATATATATATATATATATATATATATATTCTTTAAGACATTTATATTAATATATTATTAGTGAAAAGCTCCCTCAAATCGGATAGATTTAACTGAAGAACGCTGGAATCAAATACACTACGCATACACAATATCCTTTAGCAATAGTAAATACGCGAAAAGCACAAAGCTTTCTTAATATATCTGAAAGATAAAAAACAAAAAAAATATCTTGGAAAATAAGGAAAAGAACATCAGCCTCCAGCAATCAATCCAAAAACTGTAAACTCTGCCTGAACAAAAAAAGTTATAATCACGTTCCCAGACCAAAACAAACTACTAAACAAATGATCAGAAAACATCTCAAAATGCAGAAATGAAAACAAAATTTTTCCTACGCCACTTAAAAATCGAAAACTGAAAATGAACACAAATAAATGAAAATAATAAATAAAATATAATAAAAATTCAAAAGGAAATAAAATAATCCAAACAATTAAATAAACATATAAACGAAGTAAATAATAAATAAATAAACCACACTTAGCGAAATAACCATTACAATAATATAATAGACTTCCCACAATGCATCACTGACCTGATGTTTGCGGTGAGCATGAAATAGAGTGTCGCCTGTGGATGTTGACTTCAATGTTCACTTTCGTATATATAGACACACACACACACACACACACACACATATATATATATATATATATGTCTGTGTGTGTATGTGTGTGTGTGTGTGTCTATGTGTGGGATAAAATATAATTTTAAGGTTTGCTATATTTATGCGTAAAAGTGCTCAATATCAGGGATAAATCGTGTGTAAGTATTACGTTTAATCCTGAAGCAGACCGCCACCCACACCCCGATGTTCGCCTCAGTTTCCATTTTTATTATTTTATCGATAACACGTTTAAACACCACTCTCTTTTTACAACTCTTCCAACCAAAACAAGAAACTTCCTCGAGATCAAGTTAAAACGATAAATATCCCCAGACAAATAAAGTTACCCGTACATCGACGGTATTTCTTTGTTAGGTCGTTTCATAATCCAAGATACCTGGAAGAAATCTATTCATCAAATTGAAACATGGCTGCTCTGAAAATAAGTAACAATAGCTCATGATGGTTCATCATTTGTGTCCTCTTTATGATTGTAGCTTGCAGACGACATTTTTCGAATATACGCCACGACAGCATCGAACGAGTGTTACAATTCCGATCATTATAAAATAGCTTCTTCTTTTTCTTTCCGTTTTTCCTTCTTCTTCTTCTTCTTCTTCTTCTTCTTCTTCTTCTTCTTCTTCTTTCTTTCTTTCTTTCTTTCCTTCATTCGTTCTTCTTCTTCTACTTCTTCTTTCTTTCTTTTTCATCTTTCTTTCCTTCGTTCTGCTTCTTCTAATTTCTTCTTCTTCTTCTTCTTCTTCTTCTTCTTCTTTGCTTCCTTCTGTTTCTTCTTTCCTTCCTTCATTCAGCTTTTTCTATTTCTTCTTCTTCTTCTTCTTCTTCTTCTTCTTCTTCTCGATCTGTACATATCTATCTATCTATCTATCTATCTATCTATCTATCTATCTATCTCGATCTCTTCGTATCTATCTCTCAGACTGTTCATATCTATCTATCTATCTATCTATCTATCTATCTATCTATTTCAATTCGAAGGTGTGTTGAACATAACTTGTTTCGATTAAGAAAGGATTTTCATAAAATTCTGATGGTCAGTCATTCATTCGAATTGATTCGATCTCTGTACCTATCTATATATCTATCTAATCTATATATCAACCTATGTATCTATTTATGTATCAATCTAATCCATATATCTATCTATGTATATATCTATGTATCTGTTATACCATAATACCTATTCTATTGTAATAGACTCTCCCACAGATAATAAGTAGTAGTAGCAGTGGCCAGTTGGGCTCAGTGGTGTTGAGTGAGTCTCTCGGGCATTGAAGTATCAACATCACAACTAGATTGCTGCGTCATTAACTCTTATTTCAAGTTCCTAACGTTTTGTACGTCGAACCTAATTTAGGACGACTTATTGAAATACAAGCCTCCACTATGAAAACTACTCTACAACAGTATCTATCAATGAAAATTACTGAATCCTATTTATTTAAATATCCTCACCATCAGGAACTCTTCACTAACTTTTTGATTATATACATATTTCGAAATGATTTTAAACTACTTTTTGTTTTTAAAAATTATTGGATTTTAATTAGCACAAATGCTCTTTCTGCATAAATGAATAAATTTCAAACAGTATAATTATGTCGAGATGCGCGTTCGTATATCGGGGCCTGCATGCGTGGGTCTGTGATAACTTTGTCTAATCAAAAAGTCTAAAGAAAACCCGACACTTATCTTACTTTGTAGAACCCTCACCCACCCTGTAATGTTTTCACAATGTTTCTTCTTAAGATAATGACAAATCTAATTTTCTTGTGCATGTATAAGAAAACAAAATATTTTTCTCTATAGCATAGGTCCGTGCCAGTGTTACAAATGTCATATCAGACACCATTAATGCAAACTCACGCACACACGCGCGTCCATATTACCAATGATTAAGCTAGAAGCAGAAAATACAACATTCTGTGTCGCTCACAGGTGGAAAAAGAACAATCTGTGTTGTGTTTTGCCATGAGGAAAAAGTAACAAATGGTTAATACAGTGTGAAGTGTCGACTGGAAAGTTCACGCTCTGATCTATTTCTCAAAATCTAACTTAAACACATATCGAATTTCTTTTGTGCGTGTTGTAGAAGGGCTTCTTGATCGAAACGAGAGCTTTTCATCACCCCCTCGTAAATGACTGGGATCAAAGTAATAGAAAACGTTTTCAGAGACTTTCGATTCCTTCTTTCAAGATTAACGTAATGCAATAGCAAGCAATTTTAGATGACGGATTAGAAAAGGCTGTCACAGTTCCCGCTGGTCGTTTTTTTTTTCTAGTTTTGTTCTTTTGATACAAATGTTCCTTGTCAGCTGATAGGCAGAGACATATAAACAGAGATGACAGTGACTTGTGAACGGAATTAAACGTGTAGTTATTGAAAGAAATAGCAAGAAAGAAACAAAGAGAATTTGACATGGAAATATTGGGCTGGAAGAAAAGTTTGTGCCGTTTGAAGACGAGATTTCGTTTCGAAAGTTGAACCGTTTTATCTTATAAATGATTAAAGATATCTTACTGGAATTCTCCAAGGTTTTTATAACAGTAATATACACTTCTTTGAGCAATAAGAATCTATCATTACTCTCCAAGCTCAAGAAAAAAAATTGGATGTAATCGATCATAAAGAAAAATATCATGTTCATCATTAATTAATCATAGCTAAGGATCGGAAGCTCATAAAGCATTTGTATAAATTTCATATATTATTCCAGGATCAATTTCTAACTTATTCAAGATGATCTTCGCCCTCTCTAAACTTCTAACTTTCTGTCCTAGAGTAACAAGTTGCCTCACAGGTTACACGTACAATTTCATTTTCAAGTCTTTTCACTGCTCTTCGGACTATCATGGGTCAAACTCTTCTCTCTCATGCCAAACATCTTATGAATTGAGATAGATCTTTTCCAAATGATCTCTTTAGCTCTAAGTTAAGCTGATGATCCCTCTTCCTGTTGTGACCTGATTCAGTTTTCTTTGTACTGTTCCCTCTTTTTAAAACGTATTCACCTTCTTCTTGAATGGCATTTAAAAATGAAAGCCAGAGTATGAATATTGGTACCATTACTGAAAGCCTAAATGATCTTTTTCCTCCCACCATTGCTTAGTTAAGAAGACAGTGGGTGTGACACAAAACAGTTTTAACCTGCGGTGGTGATAAAAATATAGTGACTTGTTTTTTTACCATACTGAACTGTTTTTTCACACTGATCTGTGAGAGCTCGAGCATAAGAAAGATCAGTTGCAAGTCTCTGGCTATTTTAATTATTTCAAAACGAGACAATAATAAAAATACCGAGAGAATTAGAAAAATATTTCTTGGTATATAATCTCAATTTGATAGACAGGGAACTAGACATAGATATGTGAAGGGAAAGACTTATCAATATATGTAGACTGAGAATTGCCCAGAGCGGTAGAAACGTGTGATTTGGTTTGATTTGATTTGTTGGGTTTTACGACATATCAACCTCAATGGGTCATTTAATGCCGACAACTTTTTTTTTCTGCTAATATTTTTGTTTTGTTAAAAATCTATTTCTGGTAATACTATTTTCCCAAAAACGTATAGCTGTTAATATTATTTTTTCAAAAACGTATAGCTGGTAATATTATTTTTCTGAAAATGTATAGCTGGTAATATTATTTCTTTCAAAAAACCATAGCTGGTAATATTATTTTTCCAAAAACGGATACCTGATAATATTATTTTTTCAAAAACGTATAGTGATAATATTTTTTTAAAAAAACGTATTGCTGGTAATTTTTTTTTTCTGGTAATAATATTTTACAAAGTATTTCTGGCATTAAAACCTATTTTTACACTTTTATAATGCCTTTTACCCTCAGTTTTTGGGTTAACCATTTGCCCTAGTTGTCTACTTCTAAGAAATTTGTGTTTCCAAGTCTTTTGGACGAAATTCGAAAACTTATTTCTGTGGTCTGGTCCTAAGTCGCTCTTCAAACTACTTGTTCTTGGTTGAAGAAGAGTCCAAAAAGTGTGCGTGAATCTTGGTCACTATCTTGATGGGGTTTCAACACTGGGACTCGTCCGGGCTAAACTTCTTCTCTCCAGGGTCTGGCTCTTCTCTGCCTGCCGTCCGGGGCTCAACTTCTTCTTCTCTCCAGGGTCTGAGCTCTTCTCTGCCTGCCGTCTGGGGTCCTCTTCTCTCCAGAGTCTGAATTACGGGCACTCATCTCTGCCTGCCATCCGGGGCTAAACTCTTTTTAAAAATAATCTCTAAGTTGTCTCCGATAATTAGTTTCGCAGGGCCAAACGGAGCTCTTCTTTTTCGTTCAAAACAGAATTCTGCCGCCGTCCGCAACTCCGCCTAAAATCCGCAGCTGCACTTTTCTGTCTGGTGGGGCTTCGTTTTTTATTGACGCCGTCAAAACTGGGGTGGTCTGTAACCTCGATAATTCTAAATACGTATCCACCTTTTATTCTGGTTTAGGGATTTTCCACTCTTTTCCATTTTTAGTAACTTTTTCTCACCCCACTCTCTTACCAACAGCTACCGTGCCGGTCTCTTCGTATCGGCTTCTCTTATTTTTGGATGAGGCGTCGACTGATTTTCTTCATGCGTCCCTGACCATTCTCGGCCAATGATCTGTCCTGGTCGGTATCTTCCTCCTCCTTCGTGCGTCATTCCACTTGGCCAATGACGTCTTAGTCAGGCGTGAACAACAACCGTGGCTTTGTTTTATTCAAATACCTTGCTTAACTAAAAAAAAAAATTAATTAAATCGCCCTTTATCATGAGCGGCCGAGGTGACACTCTTTTGGTTTTAACACGTGGCGTTT